GTGTGTGAATGGGTGGATGACTGGATATGTAAAGCGCTTTGGGGTCCTTAGGGACTAGTAAGGCGCTATATAAATACAGGCCATTTACCATTTCTCGATCTGTGTGTGTGTGAAGTGCATTTTTAAAAAGAGTTAAAGAGGGAATGTTTTCTGTTACATCAGCAAATCAGATGTGTAATCTAAATTGGGTGATCCTTCAGAAGTGTGGTCACATGACACAGCTAAAATATAAACGGAAATAAACTCAGAGGCATATTTCATAGTGCATCACGGGCAGTTAGTTCTACATCTGGCTAATGAATGAGGCTTTGTGAGTGAGGTCGTCTGACCCTCTGAGAGAACCCGCAGTCAGCTGATCTACAGTCCTCTGGTCATGAGTGGCAGACGGGGCGTTCCTCAGGGGGAAAAACTTCTGGCGTCAGTCCCAGAAGTCTGAGGAGACAGCGCCGTTTGGGTCCATGCAGCACACAGGAGCATGGAAAGTAGTTTAGCTTAACTTTCCTTATTTACGTTTCTGGTGGTGGCAACAGTGGAAAGGGCCAGAAAAACAAATCCATGTGATTGAAGACTTGCCTTATCATTAAGACATGTCTCAAGTTTAAAGATCACCAGCAATCACCAAAAACAAGCACAGAGAAATTTAGAAAGAACAAAACAGGAAGTGTGCTTTTACACAGCATCAGATAAAGCTTAATGAAAAGTGAATATGCAGATTGTGCACATCAGTTTCCTTTATATTCTTATCTCTTTTGTCAGTTTCCTTTTTTTTCTTCCTTTTTATAACTCTGGCTTGTTTGACATGATAACCACAAGATCCTGATTTATATTTGTCGTTGTTTATCAGCTGTCAGTGTTTTTGGTGACTGACTATTTCAATTAGAAGCATAAAAACAGATAAACTAATCATTTTTTAAAGGAAATGCTTTCATAAACCGAACCTACACTTAATTATATCACTGTTTTACCCACTTCCTGTTGGTGACTTAAGTGTTGAAACTTTAACTCACTTGTGATAGTTGGGTTTGAAGCGACCCCACCTCTGCGGCTGATGACACAACTGAAGTTGAGCCTGTGCTGTCTTGAGAATCTCTATATACTCCAGCAGCGTCTGTGTCCACAAGAGATGGTGATACAATGCGGTTATTATACAGCAGTGGGACTGAGAGCCATGTCATGGGGGCGCAGATCTTCTATGCCGCCAGGCCTGTCACACAATAGTAATTCAGATCATTGCCTGAGTATGAGCTTTTTCCATTTATTGTCTGTCACAAGCAAAAATCTTTCCACGTGAAACACAGTACAGATAATGTAAAGTCTCTCGGTTTTCATTAGACTCTGCTGGCTCAGTGCTGAAGCACGTATAATGTTGCGCTCTAACCCGTGCGATAATGTATTTTTTGCTTTGATACAACATATTCTCTAACGCTAAACCAGCTTGTTCATGTGAACGCAGCGCTCACCAGGTCAGGATGTGGTATACCATGTAGCACACGCCTGTGTTTGATTCGTCCTGCTCTCAAAGGCAGTGAAATTCAAATTAATGAAGTTTTAACAACAAAAAAACATTTACAGTAAGAAGTCAATTTAATGCAAAGTTAAAGGAGAGAAAGGGAGTTTTCTTCATGTCAGCAATCTCTTCAATCACAAGCAGCTTTCATTTCCAAATGAAGTAGCTGTTGTATTGTTCACAAACGTAGCTCTATCCTAAAACTACAGGACATCTGCAAGCTGCTTTGCAGACCACGCCCACCCCGACACATGTTTTAATGCTGATTCAATCAGTCTCATATCTGCTTTCTTTGATGCCTGCTCTGTTTTCTACAGGAGGTCTTACTGCTCTGACAGAAGAGTGTGAAAGTCACAGAACAGAGCCATTGTACCAACTAGAAATCAGAGCAGAAGGAAGTTATTTTTTTTACTGTAGCGGTGCTTCCTGGGCCTAAAGATCTGACTCTTAAAATAAAATGTTTGTCATTCTTCTTCGGAGCTCTATTATTGGAATGTATGTCCTTTTTTTTTTTTTCATAGCACAAGTTGAGTAATGTTTTCTTTCCTCTTGTTTTGGAGACAGACACCAGCATTTAAGGTGTTTAACTTTGTTAGGACCTGAGTCTGCAGTGAATCATAATCGCTGGCAAGTTCACACTAATCCACCAAACAAAGAACCAAGTGTGTTGAGACGTTCAGAGGAGAAAGTGTTTATGTAGGTTAAACTGGCAGGGGATCGTCACCACCTTAGTTTGAGATCAGGTCAAGACAGAACTATCTCACCCACGTTTGCATGGAAATGTTTCATGCTCCTCAGAGATGAGGGCCTGATGGCTTTGGTAATCCACAGTCTCTCATCTATAACCACCATGAAGTTGAATGCTTGGTGAATTTTTCCTCAAGCACCATCATGAGGTCAGACCATGAATGGGAGCACTTCTATGTTTTCTAAACAGCACAGCATGTGCCTCTGCATATTATCTGCTTACTAATTGATATCTCTGTTCGGATCAGATGCCGGGCCTGGGCCTCTCCCTGACTGCGGTGGACTCGGGGCTCGTGTCGGCTCTCCGGCGGGACCAAACGTCCCTCACCTTGTTCCTGTCCTCTCCTGATGGCAACACTGTGGCAGGGACCGGGGTCATCCTCTCCTACTCCAGCACCGGTAACACTTGAACTGTCCTCCAGTACAAAATACACCAGTGTGCTTCTCTTCTGACTTGTTTCACTGTCTTTGAATGTTGCCTGAGAAGCACAGAACAGGAAAGTAAAAGGAGAAGAAAGCAAAAACTTTGGACATTAACTAAAACAAACCATGTCAGCACAGTGTGATTGTCACTGGAGGAAACCTGAGCCGACCACGAGCTTGTATTCGCACTGATTTGGTTTACCTCCACTGGGTGTTGAAACCTATTTTAATAAGTCATGTTGACATAGCAGAATGACTCTCAGCCTTCCTCCTATTGGCCCACCACGTCCAGTCCAGCGTCTAACAGTGAATGTGTTCTGTGTCAGATCCAGTTCCAGGAGCGTGCAATATGGAGTTTGACCTGGAAATTGACCCAAACATCTACATCCACTACAATCTCTATGAGACCACGATCCGTTTTGCACCTGCCAACCTGGGATATGAGAGGTAGCACATGACACCGACTCTTACTGTTTTCTTCACTTCCTGTTCAGCCTGTTGAGCCACAGGCATCAGCGGCTCTGTACAGAGATCACATTTGCCGCGCGCTATCGTCAAACCACCTCCGTTTGTTTTCTTTGAAATGATCTCGTGCTCTCTCTCTCTCTCACTCTCTCACACACACACACACACACACACACACACACACACAGCCTCACCTTCTCACGCTTTGCTTTGTATATCAGTGCCACAGAGTTGTCCTGAAATGGTTTTGCTCACTTACACACAGTCATTTCCTGTTTGGTCTGTGGAGACTCTATTCAAATTTTAATGTGAAAGGTTTCGGGGGAAAACATGCATCTTATTTGCTTGTAGATAATATGTTTGTTAGACAGTGTCACACTTTTTTTGGTTTTGTTTTGTTGGTTTTTTTTATATTTCAAGCATCACGCATGTAACATGGTAAATGGTTTTGATATAGTTGCTAGAGTGGTTTAACTTTAAACACTAAAGGTTGGTTTAGTGATGCGTTAGAAACTCTTCTTGTCTGACATGTCTAACTGGAGTTATGTGTTATTATATCATGTGATCAGTCGGCCTGGTGACCACTCCCTCTAAGCTAAGATTCAGGTCTTAGCTGTGCTACAGGTTTTGAAAAAATGTAATACTCTGAAAAAATGAAAACAAAATTGTGTTGATCCAAAGATAAATCTATGTTGCTCCTGTCCGTCAGAGATGGAGCTCCTCCAGCCTGCAGCCAATCCACAGGAGCCGACACGCGCTGGCGGCTGCAGTACGACATCTACCAGTACTTCCTGCCTGAGAATGACCTGTCAGAGCGCAGCCTGTTCACCGGCTTTCAGGCCGTGGCCGACAAGCAGGGCATGATGGAGAACGGCAAACGGGTATGCAACGTGAACGCAGCGGATGCCGAAGATTAGCAGTCGAATGTGCCGGAGCTGCGTGTTTACGAGTCTCCTGCCTTTTCCTCTCTGTGTCTCCCCGCAGGTCATGACGCTGGAATCGACAGATGTGAGCTCGATGGTTTTCAACTCCATCCCCGGTCAGGGCATAATCTACTCTGTGATCGTTAGAGACCCGCTGTTGAACACCTCGGCCTCTTACGTGCCCGCCCACACCTACGCCTGCAGCTTCAATTCCACTCTAGACAGCTGCCAAACTCTAGGTGAGCTTCTGAGCTCTGTCGAAAACTCGATGCTATTGAAGCACGGATTTCTGACTGTATAAATGACTGATTTATTTTAACTGCGGTTTGTAAATGATTTTTCAGGGAAGATATCTACAAAAATCTTCTTCACCATCACTGGCTTGGCAGGGCTGTTTGTCTGCTTCTTTGGGCATCGGTTCTTTAAATGTGGTGAGTAGTTAGTTCTTGTTTTGTGTGGCTTTGGTGCTACAGTATCCCAGTGCATGATGGTCAGTCTGTGTAGTATTAATACTACTACAGTCAGGACATTTGTGAGTATATAGCTCTGAATGCAGGATACTAATCCAGCGTGAGTCAGATTTTTTTGTTGATTTGTGTCAGTAACTTTATTGGTATCGATCGGTCCACATGGTCATCTTTGTAGCTGATGAAACTTCAGGTTTCAGCCACTCTTTAGTCTTAAGCCTTTAAAGCTTCCTCTCTAGACTCTGAAGCTCTCTGCCAGTTGTTTATTTTATAAACAAGAGCCTCCCATCACGGGTCGTTACATGGTCAGCAGAGAGAATTATGGGGTCAGAAGCTGTTTTAAAAAAATATATATATAACTTCATCATAGAAACTAAACAAAGAAAAAGCCTCAATTGCACACAGAGCTGCTGCAACATCTTCTCAGCCCTTCACTCTTCAGTCGGTGGGTTTTAGCAGTGGCGTGCCTCTCATGTGGTCTCCCTGGCGTGTCACGAACAAATGCATTTGTTCCAAACTGAACCCATCACTGTGATCGGCCCCTGCTGCCAGTGCTTCTAATTAATCTGATAATGACAGACACAGTATGTCTCCTCGGTCTGAGGAGAATTTGTTATTCCGGAGCACGAGGCTTCATGACGTCCCAGGAGCTGGAATTTCAGTAGCTTTAACAATGTTTGTGTGAAATGTGAAGAGAATGAATTGCTGTTATCTTATGTGTGGTTCTTCTTCTCTCTCCTCCCTCTGACTTTTGTTTCTTGGGCCCTGTTTCCACCTCTCCTGAACCCCACAGAGCTGTTTTGCATGGGATTCAGCTTTGCAGCCTTTTTGTTCTTCATCCTCATCACGAGGACCACAGAGCTGGACTATGACAGTAAGTCGGGGGGGGGATTCTAGGCTTTCAGTCCTTTCACATGATGTGCAGCATTTCATGCTTTTCACTGCTGTCTGTGTCTTTCTCTGTGCAGTCCGTCTGACCCTGTCGGCCGTGCTCGGCGTGGTGGGCGGGATCATCCTGGTCATGATATGGTGGCGTTTCGGTTCAGTCGTGGCCGTGGTCGTGATTGTGGTCGGCCTGATGCTCGGCTTCCTCCTCGCCTCCGTTGTCCTCTTCACTCCATTAGGTACGGAATAAATCTGGCTTTTGTTGTGTGTCGTTGACTCTTCAGTACCGTGAGAAAAAGCTACAGCTTATTGTTAAACGCTTCATGTTCCATAAGTTTCTGTGTGTCGTGGTCTTTCTGCAGGAGACATCAATGTGTTCAGGAAATCCGACGCTGTTTTCTGGGTGACGTTCTGCTGCGTCACGCTCATCGTTCCACTCTTTTTCGTGCGTTGGCCCAGAGAGGTAACTGATTTAACGTTTCAGAAGCTGGAGGTGTTTAAAGGTTTTTAGCGTCACCTGGTGGTCATGTCAAGAATGACATCTAGGTCAACAGCAGGTACCAGAGACTGTAAGGGTCTAATGGTGCTTAATCCATCATTATTTCATTCATCATTCATGTCCTGTTTCAATCAACTTCGCACTTTGCTGCATTGCTGCCTGGCTAGAATAATAATTTCAGTTTTATATAACATTTAAGTTACACAGCCCAAAATGATCGAACAAGTGTGTTCACAAGATAAATTCACTATTTTTGGAGAAATGGCACGGTCCAAAGCACAATTACAACACACAGAGTGCAGCATTGATTTTGCAAGCCTTCATAGCTCAAACAGTAAAAATCATGTGTGTGTTTCAGGGAAACATCACCACATGTGGCATCGTTGGCGCTTACGCTGTGGTTCTGGCTGTCAACGCCTACATTTACACAAGCCTCTCTTACATCACCCTGAATATCCTCAAGCGCTTGCTCAACAACACCTTCAGTGCAGTGTTCACTGACGTGCCGTTTCAAACCATCGGTGAGTACACGAGTGAATGTCAAGAGCTCAGCAAAGTTGATTTACTGGCCTTCAACTAAAACTCTCTGGTTTCCTTTTGACCAGATTACATCATGATCACAGTGTGGGTGGTGCTCAGCGTGTGCGGCATCGTCCTGCAACTCTACCGCGAGCGCTCCCGGCCGTTCTTCCCGCCCAGCCCGTACCTCATGTGGCAGCAAGAACGCGAGCGGCGCAAAACTAACGTCCTGGACCCGAGCCACCACTTCCCCTCTCTGCCCAGCCGCCTCCTGGCACGAGTGCGGCAGCTCACCATGCGCACTGAGCCGGTGGGAGAGCACACACCACTGCTACTGTAAACCCAGGACACATTCAATGGGTGAGGTTACGTTTGACCTTGGGAGCCTCAGGCTGCCAAGTTACAAGGACACCAGAGCCTGATTGGACAGGTGCTGAGGCTCCAGCTCAGATCAGCTGATGGAACTTGGGCCTTAGTAAAAAGTGACATTACAGACCTCAAGCAGAAGGAGCGACTTCCTCTGAAAACTAACGCCACTTTTATCAAACACTTTAAGACATTTTAACAATCACAGAGGAGGGACTGAAAGAGTTGCCTTAATTATCTTTTGAATGTCTGAGATGCTTGTTTTGATGCTTCATGTTGCTTCTGCTCAGTTTACCGTCAGCACTGAAGTCCCAAACCACTAACAGTTCACAAAGTAAGGCGTCTCATCTCAAGTTACTCAGATTATTTCCATCAGCACAGTTTTTTTTGTTTGTTTGTTTGTTTTTAAATGACAAAACAGAAGATATGTGTTTCCTCGGTACATGGTGTAGACCTGCTGACCACTACTGTCATGGAAAACTTTAATATGGAAGTCTCATGAGCCACTTTAAGCTCTAACTGGACTCCTGCAGGTCACAAAAGACATTTTAATACATTTTAAACAAAAAGAATAATAAATCAAGATTTAATATTTATCCAAATGTGTGCCATATATGAATGTTTTAACCTGTTTGCTTATCTTGATTGGACTGAAGTCATGCAGTCCTGTCACTCTTTTTGTACTTTGCACACTGGATTTTACACTTTTTTTTAAATTCCTCTCGCTTTAATGGTGCTGGCTGATTTCCTGTGAATCTGTTGTGCCACAACTTTTCTCAGGGCTTCACACTCAGCTTGAAGACTACTGATGAGACAGCTGATGAACTCTTTCGCCTATAAGTCAACAGGAGTTTGTTAGGATTTCAGAACTGTTCACATGACTTTTATAAATGGCATCCAGATCTGTTTTAAAAGATAAGGTCAGTTGTAAATTGTAATTTAATGTGTTTTGATATTTAATAAATGCCTAGAGGTAAGAACGCATCTCTTGTCTGATTGTTCCCCAGACAAAGGTGTTCTGATGATTTCTTTCTTCCATCATGTTTCTGACTTTCATCTTCATGAAGATCAATATAAGCTCTATAGAGTAGTAATGGGATGTATCTAAAAGTAAAGACAATTCCTCTCCATTGTTGTTGCATTTTAGCTCATTGTTTTAATGAGATATATATTATAGTTAAATATATTATTAGATATATTTTGTCACAGCTGAAGTTAATTTCATAGTTCATTCATTTCATAGTGTCCCAATACTGGATTGATGAAACTAGTACATTTTCTCAAGAACATTTTTAGGCTTCATGCAAGGATTGTTAGAGGAATGTAGATTCATCCATCTGGGGGGGTTTTCTGGTGTCGTCCTCACCTAAGAAGGCAGGTAAGGTTTAATATATGTGAGATGTATGCATACAGGTGCTGGTCATAAAATTAGAATATCATTGAAAAGTTGATTTACTTCACAAATTCCATTCAAAAAGTGAAAGTTGTATAATGAATACATTCAGTTTACACAGACTGATATATTTCGAGTATTTATTTATTTCAATTTTGATGATTATAACTGACAAGTAATGAAATGAATGGGTTTTTTTTCACAATCCTCTCCAGCGAGTGGTTATCCCTATTGCTTGTATGCTTTTTTTCTACCACATCTTTTCCTTCCCTTCGCCTCTCTAGTAATGTGCTTTGACACAGAGCTCTGTGAACAGCCAATGACCTTTTGTGTCTTGCCCTCTTGCAAGGTGTCAATGGTCGTCTTTTGGACAACTGCCAGGTCAAGCGTCTTCCCCGTGATTGTGTACTCTACAGAACTACACTGAGAGACAATTTAAAGGCCTTTGCAAGTGTTTTGAGTTAATTATCTGATTCAATATTGAACCTTTTCTCAAAATTCTAATTTTCTGAGATACTGAATTTTTCATTAGTTGTCAGTTATAATGATCAAAATTAAAAGAAATAAACACTTGAAATATGTCAGTCTGTGTGTAATGAATGTACACGTTATACGACTTTCACTTTTTGAATGGAACTGGTGAAATAAATCAACTTTTTGATGATATTCTTTTGATGATAATTTTATGCCTAGCATCTGTATATATGTAGCCTCCGCTTCTTCGTCTCTCAGAGGTGAGCTCTGTCCATGGTGCTGATATAAATTACAGGTGTAGCTCATACGGGTCTTTAGGGCATATTGGTGCTCGAGACAAATGTATTGCTGTGTGAAGTTTTTGTGGCTACACTTCATTATATACTTCAATTCAGTTTTATTCATATGGTGTCAAATCACCACAGCAACTTTAGAGTGCTTTACGTTGTAAAGTTAACAATCAGGTGATCTACGAGCCAGCCTTTGTGACGGTGGGAATGAAAAACTCCTGTTTCACAGGAAGAAACCTCCTCAAAACTCTATGAATACAAATATCAGCTTTCCCCCCACAATTCTTTGTCTAACCAAACATTGTATACTTCAAACTGCTGTTTGAAGTATACAATGTTTGTGCCCCTTAAGAAAATGGCCTTTAAAACGCGCAGACACTCACACAATTCAAACTAGGAGCCCGAGTGCCGCGAGTCCCTCGACCATTAACTCTAATGTTATCTTTTCTCTCGTCTCTTAAGCAAAAGCAGAAGCGAAGGCAGTTTTTAAACTGCGATTTCTCTGCTGTGTTTGGTGTCGTCGACACAGGTAAAGTAACATGTCCTTGTGCTCGTAGTGTGAAAGGTTTTACATAGAGAGCTGCACCCGAGAAGTCACGAAACGTGCAGATGAACAGAATTAAGTTGTTGCGATGGACAGCTTCAGTTTTTATAGTGTAGGGTTTTAATTTAGGGTTTCTGTGTGCTTAGTGAAGAAGACTCCGCAGGTACAATTAGATGCATGTTTTGTTTTTACAGTATGGTGGCATTTGTTTTAAACAGCTTTTAGTGCAAATATTTCTAATAATAAACGGGACTTGTAGCATGAAAATTAGCTCTATTGCCATGCTGTTTTTCATTAGAGCCACTAGAGGGCAGCACTGTAGAGCTTTTCTACTTCACTGGCAGTTTTGATGTTATGACCTCAGGCTAATTGATGTTCTTTTTATATTTGGTCCAGGGCGGCTTTTAATGACATAATCAGAGTTAGTGGTACATGACTGCAACAAGAAGAAAAAGAAAACATATCTGGTGTTTGTTACTTAAAAAATAGCTGCATCACGTCATTTCTCATTTGTACACAATAGCTATGACTAGATATGACGTCAAAAATGACGGAAAGTGGGGGGGAGAGTGTAGTATGGGAATAAATCTTGCCAAACACTCAGAATTTCAAATTAAAATATGAAAACAAAAAGGAGATGCATAGTGCGGTACTTAAAGCGTGCAGACCCTGAATTGGGACACAGCCAGGGTCTGCACGCTTGAAGTACGCGCACTACGCGTAGTACGAGAAGTGCGGGGTTGTGAAATGGGACGGTCTAGCCGTCGTCGCGCTGTTCAGGTTGCCTAGCAACCATGATACTAACCGTGAGAAACGTTTCATACAGCTTTGTGTGACAGAAATGAAGGAGAAAAATGTTTTGTTGGTCATTCATTTTTGTCATGACATCACTTTGATTAGTTGAGTATCTGAGGCTGAGACCACGGGACTGTAAAACATGATTGTTGGGCTTCATTCCTGTGCTGAACAGTCATTTCAAGATTAGTTAGTAAATAACAATTAGTTAATGTTGTTCATGAGACTAAAATCATCTCACTGTGGTAATGTAAATATAATATGGCCAATATTATATGTATAGTCAGATTATTATGATATAGATATAGATAGATATAGATAGATATAGATAGATATAGATATATAGATATAGATATATAGATATATATAGAGATAGATAGATATATAGATAGAGATAGATATAGAGATAGATATAGAGATAGATATAGAGATATAGAGATAGATAGATAGAGATATAGATAGAGATATATAGAGATATATAGAGATAGAGATATATAGAGATAGAGATATATATAGAGATAGAGATATATATAGAGAGAGATAGATATAGAGTTAGATATAGATATAGAGTTAGATATAGATAGAGAGAGATATATAGATAGATAGATATAGATATTACAATAAAAATAAAATATATATATATATTTTTTTTTTATTACAGGATATATTACAGCAGTGAGCTTGAACACTGGGTCAAAGATTCAAGTTGCATTTATTTAAATATCCTATTACCTTAAATCTTCACTCAAAGACAAGTATTTTGACAGTGTATATATAGATGTATTATATATGAGACATATTGTTCTTTTAATATGTTGGCATTACTAAAGTTGGCTCAATGCTTACATATATGTGTAAAAACAAAATGTACGAGCTGTGAAAACTGTGAAAACTTCTAATTGTGACAGCCGTCGCGTGGAGGTGACGTAATCGCACTCAAAATGCGTACTTCAAGCGCGCGGTCTCTTAATTGGGACACAGCCTCAGCTTTGTATTCAGAGTTTAAAAGTCTTAGAGGACCAAATCCCACACTAACGTGCACCAGTAAAACGTGTTTAGAAAAAGAAAAAAAAAACCCCAACCCAGCCAAGATTTATTGAAACCACTTTTATTAATCAAAATGACCAAAAGTAGCTGAAACAGGAGACGACCAACAGAATCAACATTCAAAATATGGAAAAAAAACCCAAACGATTTCTGTAAAGTGCCAAACAAGAAAAAAAAAGCCTTATTAATGAGAGTTTACATATATTAAGAAAAAAAAAAAAAACACCACACAAACACCACGTAGAAAACTATTTTTAATACGCACAATAAAAAAAAAATTAGAAGTCTCATACAGATATATCTATACATTTAAAAACTATACCAAGTAGACTCTGCTCCAAAATGATGTCGGCCTGAAGGGGCCTGAAAGAGGCGTTTGATCAGTAGTTCATCAACCTGGGCTTTTCTTTGACTACCCACAGTTATGAGTGCTCATACACATTGTGCAATTTTAATCAGTTAAATTAAATTTAAAAAAACAAAAAAAACAAACAACTTTAACCCTCCAACATCTAATACATTCTAATGCCACCCAGAAACAGGGGATTTCTGATGAAGGCACACAACAGGGAGGATTGGTCATAATGATGTCACCTCCTATCTAGATATTTATACAAAATAAAACAAGTTCTAGGTCAGACTGTCCACCAGTGGAACGGGAATTCTCACCGAGGTGAATAAAATGTCACAACTTTGGTAACCTGCTGAGGAAAACGGGGCAGAAGTGGCCTTACCTGGGATCCCTCCATCAATAAAAACTGATCTTTATCCTGCAAACGCCTCACTCAAGTGCATTCTACTAAGTCATGATGGTGTTCTTGTGTTCAAAAAACAATGAGGTTAGTATTCGAGTATTGATTTTATTAACAAAATTTTATATCTGTAATGGCTGTACGTGCAACAAAGGTGAGAAATGTAAACATTGTGCAAGTCGTAGTGTTAATCAGGTACGATGAAATGACCTTGGAAGAGACCGGCGAATCGGAACAAAGATGACACAAACGATGCATCTTTGACCCTTTTGGATGAATAAAAGCACAATATAAAAAGACAATTAAATAACACAGAAAAAACTAGACAAAAATGACAATTCATGACTATTGACGATTTCTGCAGAACAAAGCTGAGTGCCACCAGCCTGCTGGTTAGGTCTTCTGCCTCCTCTTACTGCTCATTTCAAAATAATGCGCCTCGCTTTTCCCTTTCAGTTGTGGGACCTTCTTCCTGATGCTGGGCTCTGTTTTAACAGCTCTGATGTTGGGGCAGGAGTTTTGCGGTGCTCGGGCGGGTTCCGGTTTTAGAGTCGGCTTGATGGCGTTAGTTGCGGCTGCTTGTTTTCGCCCTGCCCTCTGAGCTGTGACTGCCGTTTTCTGATTGGCTTTGTTGGAAGCAGAAGGGCCCGAGTTGCCCCCTGGGACCCGCCCGGGGGACTCGGCAGTACTGCGTGAGGGGGTGGCGGCTGTTTTGTTGACGGCCGGTCCCTTAGTTTTGACTGTGGCCTCATTGCTTTTTGGCAGCGAGCAGGCAGGTTTAGCC